AAAAAAAAAAAAGAGTTTACTCACTTTAAAAAAAAAAATCCTTTTTTTTTGAGACAGTCTCAAGCTGTCACCCTAGGTAGAGTGCCATAGGATTATAGTTCATAGGAACCTCCAACTTGGGTTCAAGCTGTACTCTTGCCTCAGTTTTTCTATTTTTAGTAAAGACAAGGATCTCGATTTTGCTCAGGCTGGTCTCGAACTCATGGGCTCAAGTAATCCACCCACCTTACCCTCCCAGAGGGCGAGGATTACAGGTGGGAGCCACTGTGCCTGGCCTAATCCATGTTTTCCAAATGAAAATATCTTTATTTTTTGCCAGAGGAAAAAGGTGATAGATAATTGAGAAAATTGTTAATGCTTTTAAGACATTAAATAAGAATAACTGGGTATATTTGAGAAAAGAATGTAGGGATAGTATTTTTTTTTTTAATTTCAGGTTATTTTGAGGTTACAATCAGCTCACAATTTTTGAATTTGTTAGGTAGAGTCCCTGTTGTAGTTGTGCCTTGCACCCAAAAGGTGTTCCATACACCCCTACCTTGTACCCTTTAAATGGGAGCACACCAATCCCTCCTTTCCCTCTTCCCTTGTTCCCCTCCCCCCAACTTGAATAGAACTAAGATTTTTTCCTATGTGGACGTGTGGCTTCATATTAGTATTGAGTACATTGGATACTCGCTTTTCCATTCTTGTGGTACTTTATTAAGAAAAATGTGTTTCAACTTCATCCAGGTTAATGTCAAAGGTGTGAAGTCACCATCTTTTTAATAGCTGAATAGTACTCCTTGGTATACATATACCGTAGCTTGTTAATCTGTTCCTGAGTTGATGGGCATTTAGGTTGTTTCCACTTCTTGGTGCTAGTAAATTGAGCTATTCTAGGTTGTTTTTTTTTTCTTCTGGGTAAATGTCTAGTAGCAGGAGGTCTAATTTGAGTTCTTTGATGAGTCTCCTTCTTTCTAAAGAGGCTATATTAGTTTGCAGTTACACCAACAGTGTAAAAGTGTCCCCCTCTCTCTAAACAGTTCCAGCATCTGCACTTCTGGGACTTTTGTGATGTGAGCTATTATTGGCATTAAATGATATCTCAGGGTGGTTTTGATTTGCATTTCTCTGGTGATGAGGGAAGATGAGCATTTTTCATACGTTTGTTAGTC